TTTGCAAGTATTACAGCTTTGCATTCGAAGACCAGTTTTGCAAACACTGTTGCGCATGCGTCTGATTTGCATACTTTTTGCATATTAGATCACGCCCCATTCCTTTTTGTTTTCTGTACTCTAGAGGTACTGGTACGGCCCGGGTGCACGGACGGTGGCATGTAGCCGTCTTCACACGTTGCCCGGCCTCCCTGCTAGCCGGTCGCCGTGGGTTGTACCACTTGGTACTTGTCTTTATTTTGGTTGTGAATGTAACTGTTGTCATTATGGAATTGTATGAGGCAGCATCTGAATTTGGAGCGACAGCCGGCAGTGTACACGTGTCAATAGAATGTGTGCTTCACCTACTTCCAAATACACATGTAGATGCATCTATAGGATGAGGCTTAAATACGAATTGGGTGGCCTCAGAACACCAGAAGTCCTGAATAAGACACTTCACATGTGTGCAGATTCAGATGTCAAAGTAGTTGTGCCTACATCACGCAATGCGTGTGCATACATGTACAACCTTACAGTTGGACTTTGAGGACTACTGGTATTGTTTTATTTTCCCTCTTCTTTAGAATTCTTGAGGGGTATGGTCAGACAAAGACTAACTCATGGAGTATCTTGTTTTCTTTGTGTGAGTACCTCACAAATACCCTCTCATTAAAAAATAAGTCAGTTTAGTCAGGTTGGGGAATCAGGTTGGTGTAGCGGTACTTTCCTCGCCTTCCACCGCTGTGACCCGGGTTCGAATCCCGCCTGGGCCAACATGTGGATTGGGTTTTCAGTCCCTGCCTGATTCCGTGGGTTTCCCCCAAAATATTCTTCTGGGCTTTTCCTCCCACCTCTGAAACTGTAATATCTTCTCATTGTCACTCTCTACAGGTTTCGTCAGGCTTTCGGCCTTCAGTGCCTGGGGTACTTTTGAGGAATCCTTGGTTTCATTACCAGAAAGAAATAAAATTTAACAAAAATAAAATAAAAAATTAAACGGTGTGTCCCACATGATGTGTCCTGCACATTGAGTTCTCACGAGTGGTCCCATATCGCCATCTAGTGTTCCTAATCACAGAGTTTATTATGCGCAATATTGTTGGTTGCCAGTGAATGTCGTGGCTGTTTGTGTGTACAGGGTTGCTATCCAGGTTCATGTTGTCATCAAGTGATCAGCTAAAGTCTTCACTCATGTTGACTTAATTAACGGAAGACTGCTTTGACTGCACGCTTGTTCAGATTCTTGCTGATGTTTTGGGGCTCAGGAATTAATGAATTAACAAGAAATCCCCTGGAATGATTGATGGCAATGTGGTTTCTGCCCGGCACACTAGAGGATATTGAATCACAAGCTGATATGAGACAAGACAAGTGGGTGATTACGAGTCCAGTGCCCTCCCTCCTGGGCATGTATCCCCCATCGATTTTTTTTCTCCTCCCCGACATACCAACATGACTAATCATGTTGTGAGTAGTGTTCGATTGCTAAGCCCCGAAACATGACCCAGAGTCATCGGCTTTTTTTTTCTCTCTCTCTCTCTCTCTCTCTCGCCTCCCCCCCCCCCCCCCCCCCTCCTTCTGATCCCGAACAGATACAAACTCCTCGTGGGCTCATAGGGTATTCAAACACCGAGAGACAGCCACTGTTGTCGCCACTGTCTGGCCCTAAACCGCCTTGTAGCCCCAGCGTAGTTGAATGAACTTGGATGGATTTCAATTTCCTCCACTCCTAGTTTCGATCCGGCTGTGCAGAGGGCTCGCGCTTCATGCGCAGTCGCTGATGAGTGATGATGGAGATGAGTAGACCAGACAAAAACAAGGAATCAAATAAGGAATCGGTGCTCAAAAGGTTGTTGAACTGGCCTGGTCTGCCTCCCCAAGTTCAGCTTTTCTGATACCCAGGATTACTCTTGCCAGAAACGATTTCTGACAGATATCCCTTTATATTTAAATTCCCTTGTTGTTGAACGCATTCTCATTTTTGTTGACTATAAATTATTAATTGTGTGTGCGTGTCAATGTCTCCTTCTATTAGTTACATGTTTATGATTTCAGATGAAATTTTCAACCTTGGCTCATTTTGGTATTGTACAATTAAACAAAATGAACTCTTGAATAAAAATTAACAAGTGACTTAACTAACATTACTGAAAATGTCAAATGCCTGTTTTCAAGTATTTGAAGAGTGCATTTGAACCAATCTTGGTATTGATACCCTTATCATTTGCTGATACATGTACACGTTACATGCTTGTTATTTACTTCAACTTCGGTTCCTCCAACATGTGTAATGTCAAAGGTACCAGAAACTTACTTTTCCAACAAGTGGAAGATTTGCATTTATATGTTGTTGCAGTGGTCTCACCAGGATATCATTCAGGGTGAGATAATGATGTAGCGCCTTGAGCACCAATAATGGTGGATACGTGCGCTTTATAAATCTCCATTAGGGCAATTCCACGGTTACTCACGTTACATTTTTGATGTACTTCTGAGTTTCCTTGGGCTGTAATTACCTTACTGAAAAGGTTTAATAACTGTTATCCCCATGGTAGATAGAGTAGACCTAGACCTACCTAAGCACCAAAGATGACATCCAGAAAAATGTGTTCTGTATGATAAACAAGACGCACAAAATCGGTTACTCACGTTACAAAAATGTAACGTCTTGTTTATCATACAGAACACATTTTTCAGTAAGGTAATTACAGCCCAAGGAAACTCAGAAGTACATCAAAAATGTAACGTGAGTAACCGTGGAATTGCCCATTATGATTATGATTATTGGGAAAATATCAAATTGTGGCATTAGACAAAGTTAAGGGATGCCAAAACTGTTGAGTATAGGTTTGTGGCGGTGAGGAGTTGGGCTGTCTCGAAATGACTTGGCTAGCACTGGCAGTAACACATGCATGTATTGAAGGTGGTTACAACCACTCCACTAGACGCTGTTGTTATTGCCAGCTGTAGACAAGTAGATCGGATGCTGCCTTAAAATGATTATAAATTGTTTGCCCTCTGGCAAGCTGTTTTCCAGACTGGTGCACCATTTCTTCAGCGTGGGTGAATTCTCAGTTTTTCCAGTCAGCATGGGGGTTTGGGGGGGGGGGGGGGGGGGGGGGGGGGGGGGGTGCAATGCCTGGTGCGACTGCAGTTTGCTTGTTTGTATAATACATCAATGCTCTATTGAGTCATATATTATCGCTTTGATGAATGCTTTCATGTAGAACTCCATGGAGATGGATTTGTTGATTATTTGCAAAATTTTGTATGATCCAGAAAAGATTTGTTCATCTCCATGAACTGAGGTAACATAAATGCAGATGATAGTTAAAGATTAGGAATAAACAATCACAGTCAAGTTTCTGACAAATCTTTATTTGAGAATTTTTTCTAAACATCGGATATAAACAAATCTGATTATTTAATAAAATTAAACAAAACTTTAAAAAAGGACTATGCCAGAAAGTGATTCTTTAAGCTAGCAAGTCACCTAATTTGATGGATTGAACAAATAGTTGGAATAGTCTACATTTTCATCCGTCATTTTTTTGGCATTTCGGAATTACTGCAACTTTGGTTGCCACAAATTGAGAAGTTTGTACAATTTACACTGTAACATTATGTTGCTTTAATACATTCACATCCATTATATTTTGATGTAAAAACTAGAACTCAATTAATCGTGAGTGTCACATGAAAGTAATGTTAACCGCATAGTCCCTCATAAATTTGTCATTAAGCCATAACAACTTGGTTTTGTTGTAGTGATTGATAGACTGAATGGTTTGTTTTGCAGTCAGTACACCATTCATAAGCATGTTTGGGGGGGGGGGGTGATCTGAGAGTGTCTGAGCATAGGGCTAGGTTCTATGGCCTGAGTATTAAAGTAAGGATAAATATGAGATGTTTTGACATCCTTTTTTCAAAGGTTCTCAGTACTATAGCTACATGTAATTTGCTCCCTGAGTTTCTATAATGGTATTTAATAGATCACTTAGTGGTTTTAGCAATCTGCATTGTAAAATAGAACTCTTTTTAAACAAGGCTTCAAATAGTTGGCAAACAGCTGTTGAAATACACGATTGAAGAAGATAACTTTTCTCTTGATATGATTCCTTTGAACATCAAGTCACAGTAATTCTGCATTGTAATGAAGTACAGAGCTGCCAACTCTCCCTGATTCTGCAAAATGTTCCCTGAAAATAAACTAATCTTTCCATGTTCTGATGAACAAATTTGTAAATCTCCCTGATTATGGAACCTTTTTCCCTATTACGTTGAATGTAATTCTAAATATGTCTCTGATTGTTGTACAGAATCTCCCTGATTGCAAGATGCAAATGTTGGCAGCTCTGGAAGTACATGTATATATGTAATATTTAACGTTGGCCTTTTTTTTTAATTTTGGAAAGTTGGAAAGTAAGGCCTGATCAACATTTAAAACTTTGAAATGGAAAGCGGAAATTAAATGAGGCATATTGCTCGGTCATTACACATACATCATGTACCGTACTGACCAATGCGTTGATTGTTCAGAATGTTCAGAATGTATATTTCTTGCATGGGGGAACTTTCTAAGCAAGGTAATTTATCACTCTATCTCATGGTATTTATGTGAGCCATGCAAACTGCACCATGAACCCAGAACATTCTATCCCCCCCCCTGCCTTGCACATGGAAATCAGCCCTTATTAGTTAACAAACTACATACATGTACATGTACAGTGCACTTTCGTTTTTGAGTGTTGCATTCTTAAACAAAGAAACAAAATACATGTTGTATGTGAGGCACTCCATATTTCAGAAGTCACGAGTACATGATTGATGTGCCCAGCTTTCTGTGAGAGTGGACAATGAATTTTTCTTTTCTTTTCTAAATTGTCAGAGAATCTTTGAATATGTTCCTGCCGTTTTTCCACATTTTGATTGATTTGCCCCTGCAACTCCACAATCCTGGTTTATTTATCATTCGATTTTGCTTGTTTTGGGTTTTTTTTTTTTACCGTAACACTTAGAGCGCGGAGCATATCGCCTGCAGTGCTATTAGCAGCTGTGGCAGATGGTTGGCCTACTCAGATGTGAATGGTGTACGCATGTTTCACCTCAACCACTCTCCGCTATCATTATCAAAGGTAAGAAGTCTAGTGTCGGCTGACCAATTGGCCCTCCAGCTTCTCTTGGGACGACAGCCCCATTGCCTGTTTCCCTCCACAAACAACTGTCTATTTGTGGCTTTTGAAGCAAGAGTCTAGACTGTGCTGTGATTGTCTTTACTTTGGTTGCTTGTTCTCAGTAGTTCAGTGTTCTCCAACTTTGAAAATTAAAGGTCAGTGCGCTGTCAAAAAGCGGAGGTGGGGGGGGGCGTTTTATGTTAGGGGCGCTATTTGCAGTGATACATTTATACATCTATATATCACATGATACAGTGAGGCTTTTGGCAGAGTTTTTAGCCAAAATATACCCTGGAGGGTAAGGGTAGTCCCACTTGTTTGCCTTTTTTATTATTTTTTCCCTTTTTTTAAAGCATGGCGGGCAACTTTTTAAAGCATGGCGGGCAACTTTTTAAGCATGGCAGCAACTTTTTAAGCTTGGCGGGTTCCTCGGAAAGCTTGGCGGGGAACCAGGTTATTTTTACAGGTCGGATAACACTGGTAGTTCACATAATCCTGCTAGGGCTATAAGACCTGTGATTGTCTTTGACATGCCTTAAACTGGCCTCCAGTGTGAAAGCCACAGAAAGGTCAACTACTACAACCAGATTGAACTGAAGATTAGGGTATTTTTATCATGACAAAAATGCAATCAAGACATTTCCTTTTGATGTTGCTTTTTTTTTTACAGTAAACATTGTAACCTAGAGTACAGGTATAAGGCTATGCATTTCATCTGGTGTTTGTTTTATGTTTTATTATGTTGATGTTGCTCCACAGCCTAAAACTTGTCTATTTTCTCAACAACCCATTTTCTCAAAAACACCTGTAAACTTACTCTTGTCCGTATTTCCACATTGGCTTAGAGAGCGCATGAAACATGATGGAAAACAACTTTGAATTTTCTACTCCATTCCCCCCCCCCATGTGATCTGCAAGTTATTTTATGAGGCTGTACTGGTAGAATGGTTCCTGCCACAGCTTGTTTGTATTTTTTTATGGCAAGTTTGTTGACTTTGGTTGAAAAAAATGTTGGGAGTAAAAACACTCATTTGGTATTCTTACTGGAAGTGAAATACCTTGATTTATATTCTAAGGAAGTCCATTGTCACGAAGTAATACCCCTCTGCCATAAAACTGACTGAGAGCCCTGGACCATGTTGTTGTTTTCCCAGGTTCCTGCCCTACCATCAGGTTTGCAGCCAGCTCATTTGATGACATTCACGCAAACTTCAGACAAGCTGGTACTTGCCTCCCAGCAAGGATCAATCCAGGTAGTTTCCTCTTGAGATCGTTCAGTCCTCATTTCTCCTCGCTACACTGTACAGGGAATATTTTTGTTGTTGACAATTTAAATAAAAATGACAAGTTACATATTGGTTCTGTTCATCTCACAAGAAACATTGGCCTAATTACTGAGATTGTAAACAACCATTTGTAAACAACCTTGAATTTTCTTCTACACACCCACAGGTAATTGAACATGCACCGTTGCCTTTTAGATTTGGTTGTGTTTCGACCATAGAGCTATATTAAATTACTAGAGCGCTAACTTGCGTGTACGAAGTAATGCCTGATAGGCGCATCCATGTTTGCACACAAAGCTATGGAGAACTAGAAATTCTGTACAGCTTTTGTATGGCAATTTGCATATCTGCGTTTGTATTCCATACCGGTGTGTCATCGAAGCCGATACACCCGAAACTGATGTGCACGATCAGCAAATGAGCGTGTCACTTTGCTCTACGCAAACAGCGCAACGCATGCGCGTATTCGCTGCAGATGCTTTTCGCCGTGACGTTTTTTGAACCATCAATGACGCGCTTAAGTTGTTTGCGGATGTTCTACTCGCGCGTTGCATGTAGAGTACACTTTCAAAATTCACTCCATCTTATTTCATTATGTTCTACAAACACGCACATAAATTCAAAATGTCTGCGCCAAGGACGGCTTCAAAGCGTTTCTGCGTGCAAGAATGGGGAGTTAGCGCTCTAGTAATTTAATATAGCTCTATAGTTTTGACACTACTTTATGTATGATGTACATCCTTGAACGGGCAGCTTAATTAAAGTGTTTGCATACTAAATGTATAAATTAATTCCTAGTTGCTGACTTGAGCACTGTTACCAGCAACTTGTAACAAGTTTTGTGTAATTGGCTGCTTTTCTAACAAAGAAAGTAAAATCATTCACAGGTATATTTGTTTAAGTGGTGCAAGTGTAATGGAAGACCCCAAATCCTAATCCCTATGATAAACTTCCCACATTGGAATTGAACTGGGTACACAGAGGTGGAAGGCAGGCAACATGCTGTTACACTACGCTCTTTTTAGTACAATACAATACAATACAATACAATACAATACAATATTTTATTTCATCACAATTAAAAGACTTTAAAAGTGAAATTCTTCTTCCCAATGTGCACATAAAAACAATATACATATATTTAGACACTTAAAAATTTACATAAGTCGAAAACGTCAGTTTATGAAAAGTTAATAAGTATAAAACCACCAGCAAAAATCCCTACTTTAAAAAAAGAGAAGCTTGAAAACAAAAAGCTATATTGTTATAAAAAGTATTCAAATCTGCATGCTGACATGCTAGGATATTTATTTTAAAAGGTCTAATCTGAATTGTAAAAACATTGCAAACAGACAGTATTTATCTGATAAAATTAGAATTATAGAGGTGAATGGCACTAGGTAAAAAAGAAAATCTGAACCGGTTTGTGTGTGTGGGGAGCGCTCGTAATCTTCCTGATGGGAGTGACTGTATAGATGAATGCAGAGGATGAGTTATATGTAGTATATCTCAAATCTGTATTTCCATTACTTCACTCTCATTTTGCAAAAGCATTAACAGGACGTCAGTATTTCTGTCATTATCACAAGCTTTTTCCTTCAAATCATCAGGTAATACGGGTGGACAGCATTCAACCAACCCTACTGCATACCTTCCCTCCCTTAGAAGACTCCATCAGCCACCTGGCGGTCAACAACAACGGAAAATTCATTGCTGTGGCTGACAACAAAGGCAACATTCTTGTCTATAACTTGGACAACAAAAAGGTATGTTTTGGGCTAGTCCCTTTTGAGGACAAAGACAAGTCAGGGTTGGGAGAACTCAGAGACATATATAACCAGGGGACAAAGGTCGAGGGGAAGTGATTAGTGGACACACAGTGGAGTGCAGTTTTATTTACCTTAGGTTCCACAAGAAATGTTTGGTAAATTGTTCTGTAAATTGATCAACGGCATAATTTGTCATTGATTGCGTTACTGCTTGCTGTTCTTGATTAACGATGAATAGAACACTAATTAATAATCACAGCTATTTGGATAAAGTGGGAATAATATTGTATCATCTACTTCCTCAAAAGATAGTTAATTCCCCCCCCCCCCAAAAAAAAATGCAACTCCCCAATAACTTGAAGTTGTCACCAATAGCTGTCCAACTTGTTCTTGTTTGTTCACCAGCTTCAGTGCAGACTTCCTGGCTACCGGCACCAACCGAGTGCCCTTGCAATCAATCCACACTCACAGCATCTGGTTATTGTCTACACGGATCGCACGGTAGCTTTCTCTTTGTCATTGGAGTGTAATTGTTCTTTGCACGCCAGCTTTGGCTGACTAATCACAAGCAGTGATAATGACTTAACTTGACACCAATTGTATTTAATTTTATTGTAACCTACAACCGGTCATAATCTTTATAGTTCACAATTTTTGTCATGACATTCAAATCAGAATAAATGGTGGACATGTGAATGACAGGAAGGGGCAATTTGTGCATATATGGGTCCAACGTTGTTCAGGCATGCAACTTGGAAGAAACTAAAAACGAAGAAACTCCAATCTTTAAAAGACTTTATACAGTGTTTTTCAGTTTTTAATGGCATAAGTGTGAAGTGAAAAACGAGGAAATCCGCTGATCCGAGGAAAAGTTGCATGCCTGTTTGTTGTAATGGACACCATTTTTTTCTGAGATAAATTGATCTTGAGACCGTAGTGATTTGATTTTCATTAATTTGTCACATTCCCTCTAAGATCTATGATAAATGTGTTGGATTTTGATGCACCCTCAAAACAACACAAGAATTGCGGAGAGAGACAGGCAAAAAATATACATGTTGCCAATGTTGTTAACATTTCTGAAGATTTCTTGTACATGCACATCTGTGTAGGACATCAGTGCTAAACCAAATTTTTATTGTAAACGTGGCATGAAATGATCTCTAAAATCACAAGTAGATGCTGAAGATGTTCATTACCATGCTCCTCCTAGATTGCAGAGTTTGATTTCCTGCGCAAGGGCTTCAGTGGATGGACCAAGAATCTACACAAAGTAGGCCACCATGAGGCCTGGTTGGGCAGACGGGAGATTATCACCACTGTAACCTTTGACCCAGAGAGACCAGATCACATGATGCTGCAGGATTCACAGGCATTCTACATCATTGATAGGAAGAAGGTATGACTTGTAGCATTGCATTGATTTTTTACAAGGTTGATGAAAAAGGTATTCCATTTTCACACTTCTATCGGTAAGGGTTGGTATTACACATGAGGATTGCTATTCAGCTTTCTAAAAGCATGTTCAAATTTATCCTCAATTTGCTACCATTGAGCGCTGTGGCCTCGTGGTTAAGGGCACTGGATTCGTGGTCTGTGGGTAAAGCTGCGGGTTGTGGGTTCGAGTCCAGCTGGGGTCATGGTGCGTGTGCCCTTGAGCAAGGCACTTTGTCACTCATTGCTTCTCTCCACCCAGGAGTAAATGGGTACCTGTGAGGGCAGAGATGGTTATTGTGATTGAATAAGCTTGCTTGCGCCTAACAGGGAGCATCCAGCTGTATACTCCCCAGGGAGCTGAGATGGTATTTGGAATGTTTAATTGGCCCAGTTATCAGGGGTAATAATAATACTGTAAGCGCTGTGATTTAGTTTACTAATAAGAGCGTTCTTAAATGCCGATTATTATTATTGAAGGAGTATTTAAACCCATAACCTTTGAATTTGACATCTCTACACCTTTCAGCTTACTCTTTGACAAACAATATTTAGGGAAAATATCGTACCAAAAAAGTACCAAAACATTATGATTTCTGCCGTAATTTTTTAACCCATAAACTTTGAATTCAGAGTCCAATAGACTAGTCATCCTAATAATCAGTGTGTAAAAAATTGCAGTCCACATACAGCCATACAATTGGACCCCATCCCCATACACCAGGGATGCAGAAACCACACTTTTGCCTTGTCCACACCAATTGTGTAAGAACATATATATTGCTTGACGCTGCTCTTGAATTGAGACCTGATTGTTTTTTATGAGTAGTGACAGAAAGAACATTGAGGTGTGAAATTTCCTATTGAATTCTGGCTCATAGTGCCCTGGGGGTATGTCCTGATAAATTGCAGAAATCATAGGGTCTAAGTCGATAATATGTGAGGAGAGTAGTGGACTGTATGGACAAAAAGGGGAAAAATCCATTTTTGGATCATGTAATAAGACACGATGGGTATTAGTTCCTTTCTAAATGGAAAATATTAAGCATTAGTCTTCATGCATGCCCTTATGTGTCACCAGGATTCATCTCCCATGTGCTGCTGCATTTTACCTTGTTAGCGTAAATAGTTATTCCTAGAGCTAGGATTATTAATTTGTTTTTTTTGGTCAGCTGGGGATAAGTCACTTCCAAAGAATTAATGAAGACAACAATTTGTGCGTTGCAGTTGTAGTGAATATGAAATTGCTGATTTAACTTGAGGTTGTCAAGTAACTTGAGGTTGTCAAATGTAAATGGCACTGATACTTTCCCTTCAGCTTTTTTTCTTTTTTAACTGGACCCACAGGGCCAGCCTACTCTCCTCTGACTGACTAAATCACTGACTAAGTCAATGACTGAGTCACTGGCCGAGTCACTGGCCGAGTCAATGGCCGAGTCACTGACCGAGTCGCTGACCGAGTCACTGGCCGAGTCACTGGCCGAGTCACAGGCCGAGTCACTGGCCGAGTCACTGGCCGAGTCACTGGCCGAGTCACTGGCCGAGTCACTGGGCGAGTCACTGGGCGAGTCACTGACCCAGTCACTGACCGAGTCACTGGCCGAGTCACTGGCCGAGTCACTGGCCGAGTCACTGACCGAGTCACTGACCGAGTCACTGGCCGAGTCACTGGCCGAGTCACTGGCCGAGTCACTGGCCGAGTCACTGGCCGAGTCACTGGCCGAGTCACTGGCCGAGTCACTGGCCGAGTCACTGGGCGAGTCACTGGGCGAGTCACTGACCCAGTCACAGGCCGAGTCACTGACCGAGTCACTGACCGAGTCACTGGCCGAGTCACTGGCCGAGTCACTGGCCGAGTCACTGGGCGAGTCCCTGGACGAGTCACTGGCCGAGTCACTGACCGAGTCACTGGCCGAGTCACTGGCCGAGTCACTGGCCGAGTCACTGGCCGAGTCACTGACCGAGTCACTGGCCGAGTCACTGGCCGAGTCACTGTCCAAGTCACTGGCCGATTCCCTGGCCGAGTCACTGACCAAGTCCCTGGCCGAGTCACTACCTGAGTCACTGACCGAGTCACTGACCGAGTCACTGACTGATTTTTACACTGATTTTCACATTATCCTCAAAAATGATACAGCTGGTTGGACTTCCCCATTTTGTGGAATGATATATCTGTAGAGGTGCTTTAGTCTTCAAAAGTTATAAATCAATAACTAAAAAATCCTATTCTCTGCCCATTTGAGTTGTAAGAGTAATGATTTCCTGTGTTCAATACATTTGGAAATGGTTAACACCATGTCATTATGTAGATTGAGGCATTACTAGCCTCAGAAGTGCTTCACTGTTCAGCGCCTTGCTATGTATGAGTGTTACATGACTCCAGGCCTAGATCAACAATGTTGTTGAATGCGCTCATCATGAAGATATACAGCAGTGTCACGTTGCACATTAATACATGAAACGGAAAACATGGTAATGGGCAGATGGGACATCGGGGAGAGAATTTTTTTTCCCAATGATTGACGTGGATTATGAGGAGACAAGAAGCTTGAGTTTAGCACTCGACATGAGGCGATGCAGTGATCTCTCCCACTTAAAACAGAGACAGTAGAGGTTATTGCTTACCCACAAGTTGAAATCAATACCTTTTGAAGTAACTGGACTGTTATTTTAGTCTGCACACTGAATCTTCAATGTCAAAGTCAGTGTCCCAGTCAATTCAGTCTTTTTTTTCTTCTGTAATCAAATTATTGAGCACAGGTATCAGGCATGCAACTTTTCCTTGGATCAGCTGATTTCCTCTTTTTTGACCTCCCATGTGTGTCATTGAAAATAGAAAACGCTGTACAAACTCTTGGAAAGAATTGAATGTCCTCTTTTTTGTGTGTGACTTCCCAGTTGCATGCCAGAGGTATCTTTATGTTTTAATGATGTGCAGGAAAAGACACGAGGCTTTTCAGGAGAGCAAGGAAAAAACTTTGAGAATGCTGGTCAAAAATCAATGAATAATTAAAATAATTAAAACAAATTGTAATGTACAAGATATCGTCGCTTTGCTCACGAAGTGACAAAAACCTCAACATTTGACAAAAGTTCATTCTGAGATAATCGCATTTGAAGTTATTCATTTTTTCAAAAGACATTTTCGACCACTTTGCAGTAACAGAATTCGGAATTGTTTGCATTGTCTGATAGGATATGATTTGCTCTTTGTTGATTCATAGTTGTTTGTTAAAAACAGTTCGTAATTAAACAGTAATTCATGTTCAAGAGGTGACTTTTTGTCACTTCGTGAGAACATTTTGCACTTTTTTACACTTTGTAAAAATGAAAATCACTGATTTAAGGCTTTTTGTCAATTGTTTGTTTACAATAATTAAGAAAATAAACAAAATTTTGCCTTGAAACTTGGTCAAATTGTTCCTTGAGACAACTATAATAAAATGGCTAGTAAAACTCAAAATCGAATAATTATCGATTTTCGAGGTTTTTGTCACTTTGTGAGCAAAGTGACGATATGAAGGCACAGCCACAAGCAACCTTCAAAACATACAGCAAAGATGCAACGGAAATGTGGGATAGCAAAGGTGTCTGAATAGATTTTGGGAGGTATTGTAGGCTGACTTGTGTCTTGTACCGTACGTACAGCACCTGGCATTGATGTACAGAAACAGCCTTAATCCCAGCCTGAATGAAGCTGCCCCTTCCCCTTACACCACCCTTGGGGAGACTTGATGTGTGCTCTCATAGAAGAAATCAGTTCACTATTATAGGAAATCCTGTATAAATGACATAGTAATTTGATCAGTGTATTCCTGGATTTTTACTTAAAGGGAAAATACAACATTTGCAAACATCAAAAAATAAAACTACCAAATTATTTTGAAATACCTTGCTGGACTGTTAGTGAATGACAGTGTAAAGCATCCTGTAAAATCATGGCACCTGGTATACTGTCATTTTCAAGAAAAGTGGTATTTTTGTATCAATTTCCAACGCTGGTCGGCCGACCAGCGTTGGGAAAAAACTGGCTTTTTTTTCCAAATACTGGCCCCAATTGCAATCGATTACACACCTATGAACGGGTACAAGCCAGCTAGACTGGTTCCCTGACCTTACAATTCCCTAATGTATGTAAACTGCTCTGTTTCTTCTTAAATGGAGTCAGGGAACCAGACTACAGGAAAATGATTGTTTTTCTTGGTTTTTGTAGCATTTTCGAACCCAAAACCTCAAAAAAGTCAGTGTAACTATATTTGCTATATATTTCCAACCCCCCAATTCCATCCATTTCTGAAAATTACAGCAAAAGCAAATGATGTATATTCCCTTTAAAAGAATCTTTCACGTGGTTTTTTTTCTTCAAGCCAGTCACATTTGTATGATTGGGATGAGAGGCCTGTTGTGATCCGTAGAATAAACAAAAATTGGTCATACTTCATATTTTTGTCATCAGTTGGTTATCGTTAGGATTCTCGTACATCTTGAAAGTATATATGTTGCCTTAGGCTTTCCATACCTGTCCAGTGATAAATATAGATTGCCTTAATGTGGGAAGTGAAGTAGAAATGCTTTAAGGGTGCAGCTGAAAAGAACTGTCTTAAAAAAAGGCTTGTTAAACTGAAAGACATAGGTGTGCATTGGTGTGAAAAAAATGTTTCAACATTAATGTCTTAAGGCCAAAAAAAAACTACTCCGGTCTCTGGTCAGCGTGCGCGTCGATTTTAACCATGCGCGTCAATCTTTTTTTTTCTTCAAATTAACACAGAAACTACAACAGCGCCCTCTATTGCCGCACCTCAAATTTTTGTACCAAGGAGCACCAAGGAATGGGGAAATGGCACCAAGGCAAATGATAAAGGGCACCAAGGCAAATTATGGAGAACACCAATGTATAATGAGGGCACAAAAAAGCAAAATAGTACCCACCTTGTCTGTACAATTCCAGCTTGAAAAAAAAAAAAACACCCCCCCCCAAAAAAAAAAACGCGCCGCCGCATCAATTTCGGAACTTCGGTCTGACCAGAGACTGATTATTATTTTTTTGGGGCCTAAAATGTGATTTTATTTCAGTGAGATTGAAAAGTGGTAATGAAAAGTGATAAAGTGGCATTAAAAAAAATGTCAACTCTGGGGGTTCCTATCAGTCAAATTTGGACAAAACTTGCAGAAACTTAGAGTAATAGTAATGCTTGTATTAATATGTATATGAGCTTTAGATAAATTAGCGTTGGAAAAAAATATTGTTTGCAAATGGTGAAAGCAGAGAATAAAATGTTATAGATATGCAGCATTGATGGCAGGATATAACACTGTTTTGTCTAAATGGGCAAAAGAAGACCGATATTAGTTGGGGATGCTTCCATCTGTAATTTAAGATTTTTGACATTTTTGTTGTAAATTGTATGCACTGCAATACATTGTAGCTGTTGCAGTATTTGAATTGAAGACTGCAACTGAGCATGGGGGAATAGACCACTATCATGTTGCAGCCATTTGACTTTTTTCCCATTCAAATCAATGGAAGAACAAATAGTCTGGTTCCTTTTTGCACAAAAAACATTATCATTCAGTACTGTTATTGGATACAGGGAATATGACTGAAATGGTGGCAGCATGACACAGGTCTATAACAGTTCATAGTCAGACAGTTTGCATTTTACTGTCGAGGGACCATTTGCTTACTTTTGTGGTACGGCAGACTTCGCGAGCCCAATGTCTGACCACCTGTGAACAAATATTTCAGATTTTGTCGGTAGATTTTAATACTTGAAAGTATTCATGTAAAAAACAAACTAGTGTATGAAATCAGGCAGAAAATTGATTAGGAAGTCTCCTAGTTTGGTGCACTTAGATTAATGAATGAGAGAAGTCATATATTGATTCCGTCAATGCATTCTTAAATCATATTATATTGCTCAGGTCTTAAAAACGGTTTATAAATAGGGTGTGTACATTTTTCTAAAGTATTATAATTTATTCCTTTTTTTTGTTGGTATTATTTCTCTTATTTGTTATTTGTTTGCCAGCCACTTCCCACGCGTTGTGAGAAGCTGTTCAACCGAGGTCTGGGTAGCCCCCCACAGGGAGAAAGCAAACAACACGGCTTCAATATCTGCCATCGATACAAGGTACATGTATAGCCATAACTCCCTTAACCCTTACCCTACTAGACCCTCCAACGCATGCCAATATGTGCCTCAAGAAAATCTCCTATGTCTTTTGCATGGCCCTCCAATATCTGCCATGTCATTTCAAGGGTAACTGGACAGGCACTCCAATACATGCCACAGAGAACAATGAGAGTCCTCTGATAACAAAGTGAGTGCCCCCAGCTGGTCAGTATCAGGCACCCTCCAGGGCCTCCAACTCCTGCCAATTGGAGCCTTCACTGTTAAGACAAACTATCTGCCAATAAACTGCAGCTGGAGGGCATTGGCATAACCAACTGACATGCAGTAAACTACCCTCAGAGAGTAAGGGTTAATCCTTATTTATATTACGTTATAAATTTAGCTAGAATTCTGTTATTATCCTTGGCAAAATTGTTATTTCAAACCCCACCCCAAATGTTCCCAATATTCAGTCAGTACATCAATCAAAAATCAAACGAAAGTTGGAAAAGAATGGAACAAACACTGTTGGCAATGAACTTAGCTTTTAATATGAATGACTGCTCGTTCCCAGTTTTGTGTTATTTATACAGTATCCTTCAAAATAATTAGCAGAATATTTTAGTTTTAAGAAATCCTGCTTTGAATTTAATGATGACCTTTAATTTAAAATTTGTAAAACACATTGAGATGTGTTTTAAAATAAAATACAATTACAGGATTTTAGGGTTTTTCTTAAATTGCAGATAGCATATTTTTGCCATTCATGTGTGTACACTTTTCATGTATTTCTCAGATTTCCTGCAAACATGTCACAGCCCATTTGGCGATAGATTCCCTGTTCATAGATCTGTGCTTCTTTTTTGTTAAACCTGAAAAATATGTTGGCACACATCCAGACAGACACTTTGTGTTATCAAAAAGATATTGACATTGAAAAAAATATTGGCAAGAGAGTGCTTTAGAAAATCCTGCCAAAAAAAAAAATGCAACAAAGCATTGTCTGGGTGTGGAACAGATATAAAGTGAAACTCGTTATCTCTCAATGCAGTTGCTCAGTTGTGAAACTAGTTTGAAATCATTTCATGACTTGCGGGAAAACACTGTTGAAAGAGACAGGTTTGATTTGGCACTTTGAGCTTTGAAAAGCCATTCTCGTGGTGGTTATGGTTGGAAGCATTCTTTGAAAATATTATCCAAAATGAATAGAGTATTGCCGGCCCTGTTTCTGTTGAACTCCCCAACACTTTTTGTGTCAGGGAACCCTGAAAATAACATTACAATGCTGGATTTTTACAATTATAGTGGTTAAACCAAACTTTAATTGAAATGCCACCAAAAGTATGTTCCTCAAGTAGAAGGATCATGTGTTACCATGGGCTCTGACAGGTGCATAGGAACCTGAAAAATGTCAGCAGACAAAGTACATGTATGTGTACCTTCTTTAGAAAATGTGAATGCAAAGACTCACCCCCACCCCCACCCACGAGGCATGTACCTCTCCCCACCCCTTTTGTCTCCAAAATCAGAACTTCGGGGAAAGCAAAAATGAACAAGTGTCAGCATGGGAATGTGAGATCTGAATAAACGCAGCTTGAATGGTTATCCAGTTGAAACGTTGGTGCTATGCCATTGTATATGTGTACATTTCATCCAAAAGGCTTCACATTTCTGTCACAAAAGATTCGGTGCGGAGTTAATCATACTGTGTCGGCATTCAGTGGGCATGATCGCAGGTGACTGCATGTCATCAATGCTACGGACAAGGAAGGCTGGCAGGGGTGGGGTGGGGTGGGGGGCTGGACTCCAAGTTACATATGCATAGTGATTTACATCAGTGTCTTGGACATTTGTACTTCCTCTACGCCCTGAAATAATAAAGAAGGAAATATGTTGTTTTGATGTTGATGTAATATATTAAGCAAACTTTAGCTTTTGAAAAAGCCGTTTCCTGGTCTAGTTTTGTAGCCATTACAACGTGTCCTTTCCTTTCGTTACTTGATTACAGCCACTATTGTATGCTGGATACTTTGGTAAGCCAGGCTGGTTGGTGGTTGTAGAGCGCCCTCTAGAAGACATCTATGAGAGTTTACCATCCACACTTCCGGAGAAGAAATTTGGAACATAGCTGGCCAACATTTAGGAACATTCTCATGTACCATCTTCAGGATTTTTTTTATTTGATAAATGGTATCTGCCGTGTCAAGATCCCAACTAGACACGGTGATGTCAAGCAGTAATCTCCTATTAACGGTGGATTTTCCACTCATTTTTTGTCTACTTTGTTGACCACTCTGTTTAACCAATCTGTTGTTAAAGCTTCCTTGTTAGAAAATGCTTCTACGATAAAGCTCTAATGTTCTGTCAGGTTTAACTACCAATGGCTGTTATGATTTTTTTTTGCACTTTGAAAAATTGTTTCATGATTAATTATTCTTATTGTTGTCTCCAGATACAAAAGGGTTGAGATGAAACTAACGTTTTGCTAAATCCAGTTTTACTTTCATTAGAAAGCCACAGAAGACCATGTTGTCATTTCACTGAAACTAGTTTTGGTTTCATATTCTGAAGAAAACAAACAGGCAGTTAAACAGACGTCTGACTTCTGCTTAAAGGGAACCAAAAATAGACCGAGGGCCTGATAAGTATGACAATACCTGCCATATTTGGTATGTCTGTGCTGTGGCGACAAAGTGGATGTCCCCTAACTAATTAATTATAAGAGAAGGCTTGATTTTGAAGTGAAGTAAGCACTTATGAAACTGTGCACTCTGTTTGGTCGTCTAAACATGCATTCATTCAAAAATTATACAAGTCCACGTTATTCCAATTAAATTCCATATGAATTATTATTTTTGGGGTGCCTTTGTGTTGTTTCACTTCTCACTTTTGTTGATGATTGTAAGTGTACACATCTTTTGTTTTTGCATATGAGGTTTTGTTACATGTCAAAAGCACTATGCAATCAGTCTAAATTACCTAAAATCATGTAAGAATATTTCAGCAGCCGATTTCACGAAACAGTGTCATGTGGAACTTGCACCATAATTTTACACAACAAATTTGTTACAATAACTTTCATAAAATTTGGTGTCCCTACACAATGTTTTTACTATATTTAAACATCTTGAATAAGGGTAATAATTGCTTTTATGATGCTGTTAGTGCGTAATGTCTTTTCAAGTGTTCAGTCACAGAATACATATTGAATCATCTCTGCCTACCAGTGTCAAACTAGTTTTGTACAACTTTCTTCAGAATCAAGCATTTTGTCGGAGGGTAAAACAGCAATTCGTTTACTTAGCCTTACTTTTTTTCATCAAATTTGGCACAAAAAAATGACTTTTCTCCAAACGATGGCAGTCTGAATATTGTATGATACTCTCCTTGCATCAAAAGTCATTTCTGCATCATTTGGAGAAAAGTCGTTTTTTGGCCAAATTTGATGAAAAAAGTAAGGCTAACTGTAATTTTTTCAATTTTGGCCAAAAAATGAAATTGCGCCAAACTTCCAGGAGAGATGCCTAAGGGACCCTAGAAGACATTCCAACTCAATTTCTGGACAGATGTGCCCTTATACAGGAACAATGCGTCAATAATTTGGGTCAAAATCAGTGAAAAATATGGTTTTTTTTCTCTCAATAAATCGATTATTTGTGCCACAATCTTCGAAATAATGATAGTCTGAGTATTGTATGATACTCTCCTTGCATCAAAAGTCATTTCTGCATCGTTTGGAGAAAAGTCGTTTTTTGGCCAAATTTGATGAAAAAAGTAAGGCTAACCCCTTGTAATTTTTTCAATTTTGGCCAAAAAATGAAATTGCACCAAACTTCCAGGAGAGATGCCTAAGGGACCCTAGAAGACATTCCAACTCAATTTCTGGACAGATGTGCCCTTATACAGGAACAATGCGTTGATAATTTGGGTCAAAATCAGTGAAAAATATGGGTTTTTTCTCTCAATCAATTATTTGTGCCCCAATCTTCGAAATAATGATAGTCTGAGCATTGTATGATACTCTCCTTGCATCAAAAGTCATTTCTGCATCATTTGGAGAAAAGTCATTTTTTGGCCAAATTTGATGAAAAAAGTAAGGCTAACCCCTTGTAATTTTTTCAATTTTGGCCAAAAAATGAAATTGCGCCAAACTTCCAGGAGAGATGCCTAAGGGACCCTAGAAGATATTCCAACTCAATTTCTGGACAGATGTGCCCTTATACAGGAACAATGCGTTAATAATTTGGGCCAAAATCAGTGAAAAACGTTTTTTTTCTCTCTCAATAAATTGATTATTTGTGCCCCAATCTTCGAAATAATGATAGTCTGAGTATTGTATGATACTCTCCTTGCATCAAAAGTCATTTCTGCATCGTTTGGAGAAAAGTCATTTTTTGGCCAAATTTGATGAAAAAAGTAAGGCTAACCCCTTGTAATTTTTTCAATTTTGGCCAAAAAATGAAATTGCGCCAAACTTCCAGGAGAGATGCCTAAGGGACCCTAGAAGACATTCCAACTCAATTTCTGGACAGATGTGCCCTTATACAGGAACAATGCGTCAATAATTTGGGTCAAAATCAGTGAAAAATATGGGTTTTTTTCTCTCAATAAATCGATTATTTGTGCCACAATCTTCGAAATAATGATAGTCTGAGTATTGTATGATACTCTCCTTGCATCAAAAGTCATTTCTGCATCGTTTGGAGAAAAGTCGTTTTTTGGCCAAATTTGATGAAAAAAGTAAGGCTAACCCCTTGTAATTTTTTTCAATTTTGGCCAAAAAATGAAATTGCGTCAAACTTCCAGGAGAGATGCCTAAGGGACCCTAGAAGACATTCCAACTCAATTTCTGGACAGATGTGCCCTTATACAGGATCAATGCGTCAATAATTTGGGTCAAAATCAGTGAAAAATATGGGTTTTTTTCTCTCAATCAATTATTTGTGCCCCAATCTTCGAAATAATGATAGTCTGAGCATTGTATGATACTCTCCTTGCATCAAAAGTCATTTCTGCATCATTTGGAGAAAAGTCATTTTTTGGCCAAATTTGATGAAAAAAGTAAGGCTAACCCCTTGTAATTTTTTCAATTTTGGCCAAAAAATGAAATTGCGTCAAACTTCCAGGAGAGATGCCTAAGGGACCCTAGAAGACATTCCAACTCAATTTCTGGACAGATGTGCCCTTATACAGGAACAATGCGTTGATAATTTGGGTCAAAATCAGTGAAAAATATGGGTTTTTTTCTCTCAATAAATCGATTATTTGTGCCACAATCTTCGAAATAATGACAGTCTGAGTATTGTATGATACTCTCCTTGCATCAAAAGTCATTTCTGCATCATTTGGAGAAAAGTCATTTTTTGGCCAAATTTGATGAAAAAAGTAAGGCTAACCCCTTGTAATTTTTTCAATTTTGGCCAAAAAATGAAATTGCGCCAAACTTCCAGGAGAGATGCCTAAGGGACCCTAGAAGATATTCCAACTCAATTTCTGGACAGATGTGCCCTTATACAGGAACAATGCGTTAATAATTTGGGTCAAAATCAGTGAAAAATATGGGTTTTTTACTCTCAATAAATCGATTATTTGTGCCACAATCTTCGAAATAATGGCAGTCAGTATATTGTATGATACTCTCCTTGCATCAAAGTCATTTCTGCATCGTTTTGAGAAAAGTCATTTTTTGGCCAAATTTGATGAAAAAAGTAAGGCTTACCCCTTGCAATTTTTTAAATTTTGGCCAAAAATGAAATTGCGCCAAACTTCCAGGAAAAATGCCTAAGCAACCTTAGAAGACTTCCAACTCGATTTCTGGACAGATGTGCCCTTAGACAGGAACAATGCGTCGATAATTTGGGTCAAAATCAGTGAAAAATATGTTTTTTTTCTCTCAATAAATCGATTATTTGTGCCCCAATCTTCGAAATAATGACAGTCTGAATATTGTATGATACTCTCCTTGCATCAAAAGTCATTTCTGCATCATTTGGAGAAAAGTCATTTTTTGGCCAAATTTGATGAAAAAAGTAAGGCTAACCCCTTGTAATTTTTTCAATTTTGGCCAAAAAATGAAATTGCGCCAAACTTCCAGGAGAGATGCCTAAGGGACCCTAGAAGACATTCCAACTCAATTTCTGGACAGATGTGCCCTTATACAGGAACAATGCGTCAATAATTTGGGTCAAAATCAGTGAAAAATATGGGTTTTTTTCTCTCAATAAATCGATTATTTGTGCCACAATCTTCGAAATAATGATAGTCTGAGTATTGTATGATACTCTCCTTGCATCAAAAGTCATTTCTGCATCGTTTGGAGAAAAGTCAGTTTTTGGCCAAATTTGATGAAAAAAGTAAGGCTTACCCCTTGCAATTTTTTCAATTTTGGCCAAAAATGAAATTGCGCCAAACTTCCAGGAGAGATGCGTAATGGACCCTAGAAGACATTCCAACTCAATTTCTGGACAGATGTGCCCTTATACAGGAACAATGCGTTGATAATTTGGGTCAAAATCAGTGAAAAATATGGGTTTTTTTCTCTCAATACATGTAAATCGATTATTTGTGCCACAATCTTCGAAATAATGACAGTCTGAGTATTGTATGATACTCTCCTTGCATCAAAAGTCATTTCTGCATCGTTTGGAGAAAAGTCAGTTTTTGGCCAAATTTGATGAAAAAAGTAAGGCTTACCCCTTGCAATTTTTTCAATTTTGGCCAAAAATGAAATTGCGCCAAACTTCCAGGAGAGATGCCTAAGGGACCCTAGAAGACATTCCAACTCAATTTCTGGACAGATGTGCCCTTATACAGGAACAATGCGTTGATAATTTGGGTCAAAATCAGTGAAAAATATGGGTTTTTTTCTCTCAATACATGTAAATCGATTATTTGTGCCACAATCTTCGAAATAATGATAGTCTGAGTATTGTATGATACTCTCCTTGCATCAAAAGTCATTTCTGCATCGTTTGAAGAAAAGTCATTTTTTGGCCAAATTTGATGAAAAAAGTAAGGCTAACCCCTTGTAATTTTTTCAATTTTGGCCCAAAAATGAAATTGTGCCAAACTTCCAGGAGAGATGCCTAAGGGACCCTAGAAGACATTCCAACTCAATTTCTGGACAGATGTGCCCCTATACAGGAACAATGCGTCAATAATTTGGGTCAAAATCAGTGAAAACATTTTTTCTCTCTCTCAATAAATTGATTATTTGTGCCCCAATCTTCAAAATAATGACAGTCTGAATATTGTATGATACTCTCCTTGCATCAAAAGTCATTTCTGCATCGTTTGGAGAAAAGTCATTTTTTGGCCAAATTTGACGAAAAAAGTAAGGCTAACCCCTTGTAATTTTTTCAATTTTGGCCCAAAAATGAAATTGTGCCAAACTTCCAGGAGAGATGCCTAAGGGACCCTAGAAGACATTCCAACTCAATTTCTGGACAGATGTGCCCTTAAACAGGAACAATGCGTTGATAATTTGGGTCAAAATCAGTGAAAAATATGGGTTTTTTTCTCTCAATAAATTGATTATTTGTGCCCCAATCTTCGAAATAATGATAGTCTGAATATTGTATGATACTTTCCTTGCATCAAAAGTCATTTCTGCATCGTTTGAAGAAAAGTCATTTTTTGGCCAAATTTGATGAAAAAAGTAAGGCTTACCCCTTGCAATTTTTTCAATTTTGGCCAAAAATGAAATTGTGCCAAACTTCCAGGAGAGATGCCTAAGGGACCCTAGAAGACATTCCAACTCAATTTCTGGACAGATGTGCCCTTATACAGGAACAATGCGTTGATAATTTGGGTCAAAATCAGTGAAAACATTTTTTCTCTCTCTCAATAAATTGATTATTTGTGCCCCAATCTTCGAAATAATGACAGTCTGAATATTGTATGATACTCTCCTTGCATCAAAAGTCATTTCTGCATCGTTTGGAGAAAAGTCAGTTTTTGGCCAAATTTGATGAAAAAAGTAAGGCTTACCCCTTGCAATTTTTTCAATTTTGGCCAAAAATGAAATTGCGCCAAACTTCCAGGAGAGATGCCTAAGGGACCCTAGAAGACATTCCAACTCAATTTCTGGACAGATGTGCCCTTATACAGGAACAATGCGTTGATAATTTGGGTCAAAATCAGTGAAAAATATGGGTTTTTTCTCTCAATACATGTAAATCGATTATTTGTGCCACAATCTTCGAAATAATGATAGTCTGAGTATTGTATGATAC